CTTTAGAGGAGCTGCTGGGGCTCCCGCAGCCTCCGCGACCCTCAGGGACAGTCCCCGCTGGTTTCACAGCCCGGAGTTGTGGGGACGTCTCTTCTCGGGCCTGGAGCCCTGGGCTGGGGGCCTGCTGTGGGGCTGGGACCCCTCCCTCCTCCGGGAAACCCCCACCACCGAGATTCCCTCTTGGGTTTCAGCTGCGGCACAGGGTGTGGGCCGGTGGTTGCATCTCTGCTATTCAGCCTCGATCTGCCCGCGTCTCTGCCCCTCCTACTGTTCTCGATGCGTCTTCAGTTCCCTGGTTGTGGGGCTTCTGTTCAGCCAGATCTCAGGAGGCTCTGAGTGACGGTGGTTTTGTATTTTAGTTGTAATTTTGATGTGGTTGCGGGAGGCGGCTGGTGCAGCTGTTACCTGCGCCTCCATCTTGTTTCTCCTCCAAAAAACTGAGGTACTTTTTAGAAATGCGTCCAATACACTATAGGAAATATTTTCCATATTTAGATAACAAGAAAAGCAAAAGCTGTTACAGACAACTGGTTGCTGGCCTTGCACTCCCTGCCAGCCCTAGATATATCTTGTTGAAAAGAAAAATGTCACACGTGTCCGTCATCACACGAAGCTACTCCATGGCCACAGTGACTCAGGATAAAAGCAAAGGCATTCACGTCTAGACGTGATGGAAGACAACAGGTTTCCAAAGAGTGAAAATAACAAACATTCCCCTTGTCTCACTATTATGATTTATGCGTCTTACGATTTAGGTTTAGTATTATTTTTTTCTGCCTTCTAAGTAAAAATGAATATCATCACCCAAGGTAGAATTAAATTCATTTCCTCTCAGAATCCAGTGCAGAAAGATGTCTTGCTTCTCTCAATGGCAATCACATCATCTGACACAAGGCAAAATACAACCAGCAATCCTGTTAGGTGTGGTTACTGTTACACGCCACAGTCACGTATGGTCCCTGGTCATTCCTATTATGTGAATTCATTTCATTACATCCCTTTTTACTACAGATGTGATTTGGTTGGTCTTTGGCTAGAGGGGACTAAGAAAACCATGGTGAAAGTTTTAAATATTATTGATGAATAAAAAAGAGGTCTGTGTCAAAAGTTATAAGTATATAAAATTAAAATGTAATTTGAGGAAAACATGTCTGAATTTGTACACATATAATTGTGACACAATGTATAATTAAATGGAAAAAGTTACAAGTTGATCTGAAATTACATAATTACAATGGGATATTTAAATATACCCCGAGGAAAGAATAAACACAACAATAATTCTTAGCATAAGAGTGCTTGGGAAACAGTTAATAGTTCTTTAATAAGTACAGAAGCATTTACTGGAGGGAAAACGCACATAATTTTAATTACATACAACCAAAGATAACTGAAAACATTGGGAGGTTACACGCAGCTCTGAGTTACAGGAAACATCCAGACGGAGCCTGAAACGAAGTAAGTGCTGTTTCTCACCTGGAGGGACGCCTCAGACAGGGACTGCACAGTGTGCAGAAGAACAAACTGTCACGCGGCTCCTTGGCACTGCGCCACTGTCGCTGTCACAGTGGGATCTGAATCACAGTCAGTAGTAATAGCGACAGGCCAAGGTGGTTACTAGTCAAATGAGACCTCATACAAATACAATCTAGAGAAGAGTGCCTACCCTTTACAAAACAGTCTCAACCATGACAGTCGACACCTGTTGCCACCATATGATGGACACCTATGGGCTTGCAGGAAAACCCAACCTAGGCGGGACCTTTCCTGTTGACTTCTGCACACCTGTAAAGCTTGCACCTGACATCAATGAAGTGAAGGGGTCACTGGTGGTCTTCAGGATATTCTTGGCTGGCGGGGCAAAGACTGAGGAAAACCAAAAACAAAGGTACACAAAAGCTCTATGCTTCTGTCTGTCTCCTTTACACAAGTGGCTTCAAAGCCAGTCTAATCCTATTTCACTTCTGCACTCAAGTTAGGCCTTGGTGATTTCTAACACGCAACCAAAAAGGCAATAGATTGTGGAAAATGTAGTACACAACATCCTCACATGGACATAACAGAGCCAGGAAGGGTCATCTCCAACTCTAGATCTTATTGTCCTATCACAGGTATTCTCTTCTTAATGCAAACTCCATAGTCCAAATCCCAGCCAAAAGCAATCATAAAAAGCAAAGGACAATAGATGAAACAATTCACATGGACTCGACTCTACAATGACCTTTGCGTACGTGTAAATATATGGCAAATATTTATTGAATAAAATAATACTGAATATCAAGTGTAACTGAAAAATTAAAGACATGTACTGATGAGGAAATGGAGTAAGGCTCTTCAGGCAATGAAAAGGCACTTTTGTGTTAAGATGGAATATATATGTGGGCGAGGCATTTTCATTCAATACTTGCCACAGGAGGCCAGTAGGGAAAATGAACAAATATCCAAGTATCCTTTCCTTACAGAACAATTACAAATTTCCATAAAAGTTAAACCTACTTTCATATTAGTAACCCACTGCCATTCACCCATGGCTGTAATAAACTTCAATACTGAAACACAAAATATTTATTAACTGACTAAAAGGGGAAAAAATACTTACTAAACTTACAAACTGTGGCTTAAAGAGTACCTACAGAATTATATAACCTCAATGTTTACTTGCAAAAGTAGAATTCCATACCAATCACTTTAAGAATGAGTCCATGATAATGACCATATACGTCTAACGTTTATAGCATTTCTTTCATGTTGTGAAATTTGGGGAGTATATGAATTAATTTGCACCAGGCTTTCAAGTACTAGTTATAGTAATATGATTTCCTTCCAGTGCAGTTTTCAAGCTACTCTGAAAGCATGCTAACAATTAAAAGGTTGTCTTCATTGTCAGTTATACTGTATCTATCCAGTGTACATTCTCACAGGGTACTGTAGTGCTATCAGGCAAAATGAAGGTTTTCCTATATTCTTTACATTCAATAGAATTCTCTCCACTGTTAGCTTTTTTCATGGCATTTCCAAGGAACGGGGACAGCTGTAGGCTTTTCTACATTCTCTACATCTATATGCTATCTCTCCATGTACGTTCTTACATGTCCATGAAAGGCTCTCCCACATTCCTTATAATTGTGGACTTTCTCTTAGGCATGAGTTCTTTCATGATTTTGTAAAGAGCTGAGATGACTGAAACCCTTCTACAATCTTTACATTGACAGGACTTCTCTTCAGTGTGAGTTCTTTCATTCTTTATGATAAACTGGAAGAAATGAATGCTTTCTAACATTCCTTACATTTCTAGGGTCGATCTCCAATCTGGATTATTATATGTGACTTCACAGCAGAATGGTAAATGAAGGCTCTCCCACATCTTGACATCAACAGGGTTTATCTCTAGAATGTCTTTTCACATGTTTATGTAAACTACTTGAGTAACCGAAGGCTTTACCACATTCCTTGCATTCGTAGGGCTTTTCTCCACTGTGTATTCTTTCATGTACTCGAGAATACATGAGACAACGGAAAGCTTTGCCACATTGCTTACATTCATATGGTTTCTCGTCACTATGAGTTTTTTCATGAATTTGAAAATAACTGAGACGACTAAAGGCCTTCCCACATTGCTTACATTCATAGGGTTTCTCCCCAGTATGAGTTCTTTCATGATTTTTAAGGGAAGTGGGATAACGAAATGCTTTCCCACATTCCTTACATTCATGAGGCTTCTTTCCATCATGAGTTCTTTTATGATTTTTAAGATACTTGAGAAAACTGAAGGCTTTCCCACATTCCTTACATTCGTAGGGCTTTTCTCCACTGTGTATCATTTCATGACGTCGAAAGTTTCTTGGACACCTGAAATCTTTCCCACACTCCTTACATTTAAAAGGTCCATCTCTAGTATGCTTGATCATATGTCTTTGAAATATGGGGAGAGAACTCCAGGCCTTCCCACACTTCTTGCACTCATAGAATTTCTCTTGAATATGAGTTCTTGCATGTCGACATAAGTTACTTAAGTACCTATAGGATTTACCACATTTTCTACATTCATAGGGCCTTTCTCCACTGTGTTTCTTTTCATGTACATGAATATATCGGATATGCTTGAAAGCTTTCCCACATTCCTTACATTTATAAGGCTTCTCTTCATATTCCTGACATTGGTTTAGTTGGGGTCCAGTGTGAGAACTCATGTGGTTATTAAAGGATAAATAATGCATGAAGACTTGTCTACACAACCTGGATTCAGGCAGTTTTATTTCAGTAGGAGTTTTCTTCTTCTCATTATGATTTGGAATCTGGCTGAAGGTTTCTCTACAAAGACTACCATCCTTCCTTTTACAGAGTCTCTCTACCATATGACTGCTGTAAAAATCAGAAGCATATTATTAATACTTTATTCACAATCTTATATTTATTTATAGGATGACAATGACATTTTTATCATTTTCAAGGAAAGTGTGGGGTTTCTGCATATTTGCATTGTTTGAAAGTGTATTTAATAAAAGCCCTGAAGGAGGTCCCAGTCATAGATATTATGAAAACAGTTGTATTCATTAATGGTGTTTCTTACTACTGTTCCAAGTGTACTTTTTTTTTAACCCTCACTGGAGGATATGTGTTTATTGATTTTTAGAGAGAGAGAGAGAGAGAGAGAAACATTAATGTGAGAGAGAAACATCGATCAGTTGTCTCCCATACATGCCCCTATCAGGGATCAAAACTGCAACCTAAGTATGTGCCCTGAATGAAAACTGAACCTGCAACCTTTTGGTGTATGGGATGATGCTAGAACCAACTGAGCCACCCAACCAAGGCTCAAGTGTACTTATTTTTTATCCACTAAAGAACTAGGTCACATTTGAGAAGAATATTTTAATGAAATTATTCTCAGAATGAAATTTGAAGCTGAACTGATATAATTGGATTGCCGGTTTTTAAAATTTGATGACATATTAAGATTCTCTTGTGGGACATTGTTTTCTCATGTCAGTATAACTCACCTAAGATTTGTTCCAGGATTTTTATAATAATCTTCACTGTCATGGTCTTCCCATTTTTCTTCTAAAATACATGCTAGAAAAAAGAATCATATATTAATAAATTATAGAAAATGGCTAGATTTTAGGTCCATAGTGAGCTGTGATCATGCCCAGTTTAATTATCAATGTATTCTCTTTCCACATTTCAGCTCTTGAAACAGCACTGATGAGCAAGTAACATTAGTGTTCTAATTGACTAAATAAGTAAGAAGTTGTCATCACTACCTATTGATGCCAGGTTCCAGAAGGTTTCCTGCATCACATCTCTGTAGAGTTTCTTCTGGGTTGGATCCAGGAAAGCCCACTCCTCCATGGTGAACTCCACATTAACATCCTCAAAGGCCACTGAGTCCTAAAACATCCCACAAATGTATACAGGAGGATGGGTGAGATAGGCAGCACTAGGGATCTATACATAATTCATAACAAGTTCACACATGACACATGGTCCCCAACATTCATTCTATTACTTGGGTATCAGACTATTATTTATTGGCCACACTCACTTCCTCATGAACACATGGTATTTATTGCTACATTTTTATTGTGATCACTTCAAGTCTTCATTACTCTCCAATATCAGGGTACAGAGCCCTTTGAAGAAGTTATATACAAATAAAAAATTATTTCTATTTTATGCACATTAATTCCCTGTGAGAAAACTCATCTCCTTTAAAACTACCATACAATGCAGTACTCCATGAAGGATACTGTTATATTTGCATAAAATTTTAATGACTATGAATAACGTAAAGACCTGGAAGCTTTCTCTTCTATTCTTATCATCAAACACAAGAGGCCAGGAGGTCAGTGGAAAATTCAACTTGTAACAAAATGGAGCTGGCCATATTGCCCTGAAGTACTCTAGATTATTAGAAGTAGTCAGATCCACCTAACTAAAATTATTCTTGTGGAGGAGTATGAATTAGAATTTGTTTATATAATATTTATTACTGAGTCAGGTTGACTTTCTTTTATCTGTCTCATTTCATGGAGCTAGGAAGTTACCAGAGTTAGAGCTCAGGTATAAGAAAGGCAGGACAACTTAGACCTCTACAAAATTCCTATAGTCATGAGCCTCAGGGTTACCTCATATCGTTTTTGTTTGTTTTTTTCAAATTATAAGAGAAAGTTTATTTAGAAAGTCACAGAAGTAGAATAAGTGAGCCATAGAAAAAATGGGTTAAGGAAACAAGAGGCAAAAGAAGGGCCCATGGACCTTGAGAGAAAGAGAAAGGCAAGGAAACCCTGCCTGGAGAAAGAGGCATGCTCTATAAAGAGAGCCACCAATGCTTACCAATTTTTAGAACACATAGACAGATATACCTAAATGATAAATCACAAAAAAAGTCTTTCCAGCTGAATTGCAACACTATAACTTGGGCCTCAACCTTGAGGAGCAGCATAAAATTTGTTATTTGCAAGGTCCATTATTGAAATTCACAATATTTTCATGCTGAATTAGCACATGATTACAAATTACATAAGGTAACAGGAGCACTGAAAATATCAGGGGGAACACTTTATAAAGTATATGATTGTCTAAACACTATGCTCTACACCTGAAACTAATACAAAATAATATAGAATGTAAACCGTAATTGGAATATAAACTGCAAATGGAAGCATATGCAATGTTCATGGGTAGGGAGAATTAATATCATTAAAATGTCCATACTACCCAAAGCAATCTATAGACTCGATGCAATTCCTATCAAGATACTAATGTTGTTTTTCACAGAACTAGAATGAATATTCCAAAAATTTATATGGAACCACAATGTACCATGAATAGCTACAGCAATCTTGAAAGAGAAAAAAGTTGGAGAAATCACATTATCTGATATCCAACTATACTACAAGGCTACGGTAATCAAAACGGTAAGGTAATGGCATAAAAATAGACATATAGCTTGGCTGGAGTGGCTCAGTGGTTGAGCATAGACCTAGGATCCAGGAGACTGGTTCGATTCTGGGTCAGGGCACATGCCCGGGTTGTGGGCTTGATCCCCGGCAGGGGGTGTGCTGGAGGCGGCTGATCAATGTTGATGTTTCTCTCTCAACGATGTTTCTATCTCTCTCTTCCTCTCCTTGCCTCTCTCTCTAAAACCAATAAAAACATATTTAAAAAAACACCAGACATATAGCTATATGGAACAGAATAGAAACCCCAGAAATAAGTCCACACCTTTATGCTCAATTAATATTTGACAAAGGAGGCAAGAACATACAATGGGCTAAAGATAGTCTATTCAATAAATAGTTTTGGGAGTATTAAATAGATATGTGCAAAAATTGAAATTATACCACCTTTTTACACCGTACACAAGAATAAAGTAAAAATAGATTAAAGATTTAAATGTAAGGCTTAAAACCATAAAAATCCTAAAAGAAAGCACAGGCAGTAAAATCTCAGACAGTTCTTGTAACAATATATTTTTTTCTGATATATCTCCTACGGCAAGAGAAACAAAAGAAAAAAATAAAGACACGGGACTGCATCAAACTAAAAAGTTTTTGCATAGCAAAGGAAACCATCAACAAAATGAACAGACAACCCACTGAATGGGAGAACATTCGCCAATGATACATCTGATAAGGGGTTAATACCCCAAATTTATACAATTCGACCCAAAAAACAAAACAAAAAAGATTCAATTAAGAAATAAGCAAAGGGCCCGGCAGGGCGTGGCTCAGAGGTTTTAGCATCGACCTAGGATCCAGGAGATCATGGTTCAGTTCTGAGTCAGGGCACACGACCGGGTTGTGGGCTCGATCCCCAGTCGGAGCCGTGCAGGAGGCAGCCCATCAATGACTCTCTCATCATTGGTGTTTCTATCTCTCTTCCTCTCCCTTCCTCTATCTGAAATCAATAAAGACATTTAAAATAAATAAATAAATAAGCAAAGGGCCCTGGCCAGTTTTGCTCAGTGGTTAGCGCATCGGCCTGTGGACTGAAGGGTCTCAGGTTCAATTCCAGCCAAGGGCACGTATCTGGTTGCAGGCTCTATCCCCAGCCCTGGTTGGTGTGAGAGTGGGAGGCAACCAATCGATGTGTCTCTCTCACGTTGATCTTTCTCTCTCTCTCCCTTCCACTCTCTCTGAAAAGCAATGGAAAAAATATCCTCGGGTGAGGATTTAAAAAAAAGAAAGAAAGAAAGAAAGAAGGAAAGGACCTGAATAGACACTGCTCTAAAGAGGACATACAGGTGATCAATAAACATATGCAGAGATGCTCAATGTCACTAATCATCAGAGAAATGCAAATTAAAACCACAATGAGCTATCGCCTCACAATTTGGGTAGGTGCCCAGGCAGGGAATCAAACTGGTGACCTTTTGGTGCACAGGACGAAGCTCAACCAACTGAGCCACACCAGCCAGGGCAAGATTTTGTTTTATAAACTATTAATCATACTTCAACACCTTTGGTCTAAGCCTTGAAAATCCATTGACTCACTCAAAATAAAAGAATAAATGTTTTAATATACCTACCTACACTGGGAGGAAAAAAGGGAAACAAGAATTTAATACCTGCAGTGTAACAATGACATATTTTATTTCTCTGTAAGTCACTTTTCTCTGGCATATTTGGAAATATTTTATAGTGTATTTCAAGTTGCAGTGATTAAATAAATTATTATTCATTGCAAACCTGAGACTAAAATAAAGTGAATAAATGTTTAAAGGTGACATATCAGGGAGAGGCAGCACTGATCTAGAACACCCAAGAAAGTTACCCAAGAGTAGCCTCTACCCAAAGGACTTCCCATAGGACCCCTGTGACCAGGAAAGGTCCTGGATAAGAGAGGCACAAAGCTTTTATGCAAAGTAGTTCCAGGTGGTTATTAGCAACTGTTCTCTCACATAAAATATCCATACACACAAAATAAACCCTTTAAAAACAGTCACCCATTGAATGTGGGAAAATACTAAACAATTAAAATATTGAATCTGTTTTATTAAAAAGGAGAGAATAAGCCCTGGTTGGTGTGGCTCAGTTGGTTGAGTGTTGTCCCATGCACCAAAAGGTTGCTGGTTTGATTACCGGTAAGGGTGCATGCCTGGGTTTCACACTTGATCCTGGGTAAGGGGTGTGTAGGAGGCAGCCAATCAATGGCTCTCTCATCATTGATGTTTCTATCTCTCTTTCCATCTCCTTTCCTCTCTCTCTAAAAATCAATTTAAAAACCTTAAAAAGTAAAAATAAAAAGGAGACAACAAACCCACAATGGATCACTTGTACTAAGTCACATCACCAAAACCAAAACTCACTACAGTCATGAGCCACATATAGTCAAAAACAGACCACAACCCTAGCCAGTTTGCTCAGCGGTTAGAGCATCGGTCCTCGGACTGAAGGGTCTCGGGTTTGAATTTGATCAAGGGCACATATCTTGGTGGCAAGCTTAATTCCCTAGTCGGGGCACATGCTGGAGGCAACCAATCAATGTGTCTGTCTCACATTGATATTTCTCTTTCTTTCCCTTCTGCTCTCTGAAAAACAATGTAAAAAATATCCTCAGGTGAGGATTAAAAAACAGAAGACCACATATAGGATGGTGGTCCCACAACATTATAATGAACTTGGCCCTGGCCAGGTGGCTCGGTTGGAATGTTGTCCAGTACTCCAAAAGGTTGCAGCTTTGATTCCAGGTCAGGGCAGATGCCTGGGTTGCAGGTTTGATCCCCAATGGGGGGCGTGCAGGAGGCAGCAGATCAATGGCTCTCATCATTAATGTTTCTATTTCTCTCTCCCTTCCTCTCTCTGAAATCAATAAAAATATTTTAAATATACATATATATTTTTTAAAAAGGTTGCTGTGAAACAATATGCTGTTTTATGCAGGCAGCAGCCTCAGAGATCTTGTGTTTGCTGTGTCTTTCGATTGCATCATTTTCTCCTGTGCTTGATTTAATCTGTTGTTGTATAAATGTCGTGGCCCAAGTGCGCAGTGTTATGAAGTCTACAGTACTGTACAGTATCATGCTAGGCCTTCATATTCCCTCACCAACCACTGCCTCATGCAGAGCAGTCCCCAGTCCTGCCAGCTCCGTTCAGGGGAAGTGCCCTATACAGGTGTACCATTCTTTATCTTGTACACCATATTTACTATTACAATAGCCTACAGTATACAGTACAGTAACATGTTGTATAGGTTTGTAGCCTAGGAGCAATAGGCTATACCATATAGCCTGGGTATGTGGTAGGCAACACCATGCAGGTTTAAAAAAATTTTTTTTTAATTTATTGATTTGAGAGAGATACATTGATTTGTTGTTCCACTTATTTTTATTCATTGGTTGATTTTTTAAAAAAATATATCTTTATTGTGATTTCAGAGAGAGGAAGGGAGGGGGAGAGAGAGACAGATACAAACATCAATGTTGAGCGAGTCATTGATCGGCTGCCTCCAGCACAGCCCCCACTGGGGATGGAGCCTGCAACCTGGGCACCTGCCCTGACTGGGAATCAAATAGGGATCTCCTGGGTCATAGGTCCATGCTCAACTGCTGAGCCACACAGGCCAGGCCATTGGTTGATTCTTGTATGTGCCTTGACCAGGGATTGAACCCCCAACCTTGGTGTATCAGAACGATGCTCTGACCAACTAAGCTAACTGGCCAGTGCTACACCATGCAGGTTTGTGTAAGTGAACTCAAAACAACAAAATTGTTCAGGATGTACTCCCCAGGTTTAGGGATGCATGACTCTCTCACTGTGGTTTCAACCTTTCCCAGGAATAAAATTTTAAACCAATCACTCTGAAATTTTCTGATCAACACTGATCTGCCGAATAAGATTCCTAAGGTAGGGTGACCTTGCCTGAAACAATCCTTTCTTTTCGTTTGCTATTAACCTCTTAGTCACATTACATTTCTGCCTATTTTAAAAACCTTCCATTTCATACAGCTCCTCTGAGATTCTATTTACTAGCTGGGATGCTGCCCCACTCATGAATGGGGAATAAAGCCAATTAGATCTTCAAATGTACTCAGTTGGATTTTGTGTTTTAAACACTTTGAAATGCACCACAAAAGCAAATTGTTTATAAAGATGCTGTGACTCAGAGACAGGAAGATGGCTTTTGGGATTCATGGGAGAGAGACTGGAAATGCTGGCATTTGTCGCAGAGCTAGGCCTGGAGTGGGTTTCCGACCTGGCTCCACAAACATGAAAACTCAGGAGAAAACGGGATCCTTCTGGGGAGAAAGGAGGCACAGGGGACCCCACAGACCACAGCTACTTCCATGCACGAACCCCGGAGACCAGTCATGATTGTCCCCAGTGACCCTGCCGGTGGTCATCACACCAACTGGGGAGACGCGGGAGTGTGGGTGCGGAGCTGCCCAGACACACCGCGAAGCCCAAGTCCCCGCGCGGCGGCGGTCGGTCCCACACGGCGAGCCCGAGGGGACTGAAGTTGGAGCGGAGCCCCGGGGCCTTGGGTCCGCAGACTCGGGATCCAGCCTTGGGGAGAGGGTCCCGCCGGGGCAGTTGGACCAGCCCCTCCTCCCGGGCTCGGCACCCGGCCGCGCACTCACCATTTCTAGGTTTCCTGGGTCTCCCTGAGTCCTTCCTACAACAACTACGACCCGTTCAGATCACAGCTGGACAGCTGCGCGCAGAACGAGAGAGATGCGACCCCAAGCGCAGCCTAGGTCGCAGAACATCCGGGTGGCTGCGGGCGTGGCCCCGCCCACCTCCCCGCGCTCCCGAGATGACAGACAGTTCGCAAGACATCGCCCCCTGGTGCCTGACGCAGGCCTGAGCCCAAAGCACCCAGAGCTCCTCCTGTCCGGGGACATTTGCATTGAAACGCGGGGTTGAGTGTCCACCAAGGAACTGTGATCCTTCCTTGCAAACACACACACATAAAATCTGGCTCCATTCTGATCTTTCTTGACAACTGGAGTGTGACGTCTGGATTTGCCAAAAAGGTGCACAGGCTCAGGTAGGAGGGATGTATTAGGTAGATATCCTTCCACAACTAGGGCAGATTCCGAAAAAGAGCATTGAAACCAAGAACAAGTCATCCTTCTCAGAGGGGGAAAAATGACTTCAGGATATTTAGAATGGATAACTTTAGAAACTGTTCCTGATATGAAAAAATTTCTCTGCCATGGAAAATACAAGTAGGTCGTTATGTTTTCTCACTGGAGATTCAATCACTCCCTGAGGTCATGAGCCACCCCTTACTTGTGGCTACACTGTTTAATCCATCAATAATGAGGCTTCTCAGAAACCTGGGTTTCACCTAAATAATCCCCCTGCGTGGTGAGTCTGAGATACTAGCATAGCATTCCTTCTGGCAATGATGGAATCACTCCCTGCCAGGCCTCCCCTCCATATCGTATGCACAGATACCTGTCCTGACAGGTATCCTCTCTCCATCGCCTGGGGAAATGCTCACCTTTAGAATCATCTGAAACAAACAGCCCCACCCACATTGCAGCAACAACTCCATCATGCCTGGGGACACAGAACAACCCCTGGATGCCTGGGGACACAGAACAACCCCTGGAGGCCATCTGACACAGGGAGCCTGAGGGCCAGAATCAAAGAACCACAAGTAACCTCAATGGCAAGAGAAAAGGAGGGCACACGTTCCCACCAGTACCCGTGATGCGAGGTGGACGCCACAGGGAGTAGTAGCACCACTCACCATCCACTGTGGAAGGAAAGTCTGTGGATATTCAGCATGAAGAATTGAGAGATGGAGAATATATTTCCATTTCATAACCTTTTTTCACCTTCCTTTCAACAGCTATCTGGAGACAAAGCCTCAAAGCAGTTTTTCTGGAAAGTGTTTTGATTTCCTGAGGTCTAGAATACCTCTGGGTTTTTGTTTTCTCTCTTAACTTTTCAGCTCCACCTCAACTAAATGACCTACTAAGAATGTGGGTTCGCTGGGGAAGATGCATAAGTCTGGTCTCTTCTCTCACGCTGTTGGACTTCAGAAACAGGATGCTGAGGAGATTATGTTTCATCCCTGCCCTTCCCCACCCTGCTTTTATTTGCACCTGTGGGAACTGTACAATTCCAGTTGTGGCCCTACATGGGCAGAAAATGCTGATGTGCTTCCTGCATCGATGGCCAGGGACTGTTCTGCTTGGGGAAGGTCCTTTATCGCTGTGGCCAGCACTGTACACCTGATATCACAAAACTGTGTTTGGAAAGAGGAGGTGGCTCTTGTGATCTTCATCATGGCAAACACAAAGGCCAGAATAGACTTGGAGTGCTAGGGTGTCCACCTGCACACGGGGAACCCCTGACAACCCGGGACATACTACAAGATGGTCTTTTCAGCCAGTGAGCTCCACTGAAGGAGCTCAGGGAGTCCTTTGTATACATGGAGAGAGTTTCCTCATGACCTTGGAAAATGACCCTAATGGAATAAATTACTCAAAGTTCTAGAAGGTGCTCTTGGCTCTGAAAAAAGGAGAGATTTATCCTTTTTGTGGTCTAAAGCATGAAGTACAGTGGTACCTCGGTCTCGGTAGATGAACATTTCGGTTTAAACCTTGCAGTAAATGCTTCAGTTTCCAAACACTCCTCGGAAGTTGAACATGCCACGCGGCTTCCGCTGAGGGCAAGGCCCTGAGGCCCAGTTGTCGGCTGTTGATCCCGCGGTTTTCCAATGTTTCTGAACCCGAACACTCTTCCAGAACAGATCACATTTGAAAACTGTACCTTTAAGTGGCAGAACATCAAGATATATGTTTGCACTTAAAAATATATATTTTTTTTTCATGGTCTGGCTGAAACAGTAACATGAAGTTTGAGGTAGTAGTGGGAGAATCAACCAAAATCTTCTATCTTGAAGGCATGAATTACCATAAATATTAATCTCAGCATTTATTTTGAAGATTTGGAAGCATGAAAAGTAAACACCCACAGATGAAATCAAAATAGTCATCACAGCACTTTATTAAAAGCATTACTTCTCAGTAGTTTTACAGACCAGTTTCAATTTTACTTTTTAGGGACCGATAGATTCATCTGCAGAGTACAATGCGGATTCCACTGAGAAAAGCTGTGCATTTTAAGTCTGTATAAGATGGTGCTGACAATGACAATGAGAATAGGAACAGAAATGCTAACGCTAATAATAAAGGCACTTTAAACCAGGGGAAAGTATGTAAAGCATGTGATTGTCTCACCACTAAGCTGTACACCCCAAACCAATACATAAGAAAACTAATAAAAATAAAGCACTTTAGAGAGGCTT